CCATATAGATACAACAACACATGTCCTCTGAACTCCATAAATAATTCCTCATTTCACCCAATGCGCAACTTCAGTGTATTCAAACACTCAATTGGAATACAAAGAAGGCGCTAACACTTCAGAACACGCTGATGATCCTCCGAAACCCTTTCCCCGACTACTCAAAATCCAAGCAAGTATACACATACCGACCCGGGAGTTGGCTGCTTGATAATATTCTATCCACCCTAAAAAGGGCATAAATAATCCATACTTCGACCCAGAAGTCCTCAACTGCCCACCAACGATACGAGTCTTCCCTTTGAAACGGCCCTGGTCACCACCGGATTCCTGACCATTGGCCAACTGCCGAGGAGACACCCATCCTTTCTTAGACACATACCACATGCATTATCTCGCTCTGCACCTTTCCTTGATCACCAATGACCCTGGCATCACGAATTCGAGCCGTAGATTTTTGTATCCAACCCCTAACCTCTCTTACACAAATCTCTGGTTCCCTCAATAAAATACTCGGTTCTCCCCCGCTTAGGGTTCGAACCATCACCAATTGACGCACACACCATCCCACAGACTCTTTCCACTAGCAATATCGCACCTTCCCTTGGAAGGTGATACGCAACGCCCGATAATCTCCTTTAATGGGATCAAGCAACCTCAAATACCCTGAATCTCAGAAGAAATCCTCAGGAAATTCTCACCACGACTGACTCTAGTTGTTCAAAGTCTCATACCAACCTAATACCGAACATCTCAACTGTTCAGTAATATCACTGACTCTTAGACTGAAACAATAAATCATCGTACTCTTCAACCTTGACTTCTCAACCCAAGTTCCAACACCTGAATCATCACAAGAACAGGGACTCCACTCCTATACTCAATATCCATCATAGATAGAAGAGTCACCGCCCTGATGTACTCGACTGGATTACCCACTGATACCACCACCACACGCCCTACTATACTCAATTAGGGTGTAATGTGGTCCTTGACCATCTCAGTCCCCACTGACTACCTGCTCATGGTAGATCATTTCCATGCGGCGGACATGTTGCCTGATACTCTGGTGGAAAAAATCGACATCAATGTCACCCTGCAGGGTTTTACTCCTATACCCCGAAACCGAAATCTCACGTTTCTCCTGTTTCCCATAGAAACATAAATAGAACCCGTCAGGTTACAGAAGGTGACATCTCCTCCATTGACTGATCGCTCACTCAGGATGCAATCCCCCATAAATGCCTTCTCTACAAATCCCTGAGTCTTGCGACTACATCTGACATCTTACCAATAATACTCTGAAATGCTCCCGACCTCCCTCTCAAGGGATGCCTCTATGGATTCAATCATGGTCCTCAGGCCTAAAACTCCATCGCATCCAAACTCTACCAATCAATCCTAATCGGACAACCGAAGAATCACAAGCATCAATAGCTAAGAACCATGGTACTCAGCCCCTGACATCTCTTCTCAATCTGCTACAATGTATGGTATTCGAACCATGACATCACTCCTCAAGATGCTACTTAGAACCTTCAGAATACTCCCTGTATCGAGTATGGGTCCCCTGCTTTCAGTAGTACGGGCCCATACTACCTGCCACATCTACCCATACTTTCCACACGGACCATCCCAGAGCTCCTAAGTAGCTGGTCAACCTTCTCGTTCACTAATTCCATCACGCGTGCTCGCTCCTCAGCGAAATGCTCTACTCCACCAGCGTACTCATCTGGCTAAGGTCACTCCCACTTCTCCGCCATCAGCTGCTGAAGAGCTCCTAATGATGCCAGTCATCTACCTCCTGAATATCGTCATATTCACTTGGTAGCTAACTCCCATCATCAAGAGTTCCACAAAGCACGAAGCAAGCAACATTCGGGCATCGAAGAATACATAGAGCTCACTCTGGATGATAACTCCGCTTTCTCTGCTCATTCTCAAGTACCACCGAACTCTGCAACTCTGCCCCTCGCGGGTTCTAACTATGCTTCGATAAACACCGCAATAATCATCTAGGCGTCTCTCCTAGATTATTCCTCTACTCAAGTCCCCTAAAAGGATTCTAACTGAATACTCTCACTCACACTCAAAAGCACATCACATATAACAAAAACTCCTAGACTAAGGCATCACAAATCAGGCCACTCTAGTCCTAAGATATGAAATACCTAGCCTGTCTCTAGCATGCATAATATCTTATAAAATGTATCATAAACATCTCATAACACAAAAGTAAGAGTATTTTGGGAAATCACCGTTCGGGCTCTGGTTGATTGTACACACTGCTCTTTCTCGCTTCCTTTTTGAACTCTTATTCACTTTTAGAAAATCATTTCTTTTGAAAACTTTTCGTACTTCCTCAGTTTGAGTCCAGATTTACCAGAAGGTGCATCCGAATCCCTCAAACCAAGGCTCTGATACCAACTTGTAACACCGTAATTTTTCAAACAAATTTTTTTGAAAATTAAAATAGTTTATCTCTTTAACGCATTTCATAAAAATCCCATTTGTTTAAGTTACAAAACATAACTCTTTTTTAATCAATTAATAAACCAAGATCCTCAAACAAACGCTTTCCCCGGTGTGTACAATCGAGCTGGTGCCGTCCCGTGAACCTGAGAAACCTGAAACACATAACACAAAACACTGTAAGCACGAAGCTTAGTGAGTTCTTCAAAATACCACTCTAACACATATTAGCCACTCGAGGTTATAACTCTGTGGGTCCGTGCACCCAAACTCTGTGAACTCTCCGATTCTAACTCTATGGACTCAAAGGTCCTAACTCTGAAAACTCAAAATCATGCATATCACATATCACAATAAATCTCAGAAAATAAATAGCATACAATTACATTGGCACATAACTCTAAACCTAACTCTGTGGACCTTCTGGTCCTAGCTCTGTGGACCTTCTGATCCTAACTATGATATACACACAGCGTAAATCACGTAGAAATAATGCAGTGCCACACATCGCATAGATAGCATACAATAACTCTGTCATATAACTCTATTACCACTCTAGGTAAAGTATAGTGAGAAGACTCACATGTTACTGCCTACTGAGGAATAAGATCACGCTGCTCCGACCACCGCCTCGAACTCCACCACTGAATCACTGAAACCAATAGAAGTCAATTGGTCAACTCTTGGTCAAAGTCAAAGCCCTCAGTCAAAGCCAACCCTCCTGACTGACTCTACTCGTCGAGTCAACCCGTTGACTCATCGAGTCCCCATGGTCTGAAACTCCCATAACACGACTCAACTCGCCGATTCGCCCCAAGACTCGCCGAGTCCCACAACTCTGAGTCAAACCGTAGTCAACTCGCTGAGTCATCCCTTGACTCACCGATTCTCAGCTTAACCAGAACAGGTTAGGACCTCAAGACCAGACTCGCCGAGTCCAAAGCTATCTTCAACCAACTCGACGAGTTGTTCTTCCAACTTGCCAAGTTTCTTCCTATCTTCATGCAACTCGCCAAGTACACCCATGTGACTCGTCGAGTACCACTAGCTCTTAACCCATACAGAGGCTTTCCAAGCCATGCAGGGTCTCCAATCCATAGATCTACTCTTATACAAGCCATCCATCACGTAAAGTGGCAAACTTTACGTGAATCCAAGGAGATCTAATCATAATACACTCTTGGGATAAGGTTTGGGGCTAAAAGACTTCATCAACTGCTCTTGAACAATGACTTTATGCTCTTTTGGATCATCACCATTCTAGATTTGAGGTAGCAACCTCAGATCTAACCTCCAAACTCAAGATAGCACTAGATATACACCCAAAAATCCCACAAATGATAGATCTCGATGGATAAAAGCTCAAGAACAGATCTCTTACCTCCAATGCAAGCTCCTACTGGAAAATGAACCAAATTTCTGCAAAGCCCCTTGCTCCAAATCATCTTGATCTTCAATTCCCCTCTAAGATGTCCTCCTCCAAGGCTCTACTCACTCACAAAGGAAAGCTCACACGAATCTAGGGCCTCTGGAACTCAAAGGGAAGGTAAAGAGGCTGGGGAGTGGGTATTATGTTCTTTATATAGGGTTCAACCCCCGGGATTAGGGTTTTCTCCATACAGCACCAACTCGTTGAGTCCACCCATGCGACTCGCCGAGTTGGTCATTTAACACGCGACCTGAAACGCGACTCGACTCGCCGAGTCTATCCATAGACTCGCCGAGTCGACCTTCTTATTTACACTTTTATCCCTTCAACTTTACTTCTGAATTTCCTGGATGTTACATTGTTACAGCTACCCCAAAGCTCCAGGTTGTAGATCTAGTCTCCTAATTCATGGTTTCCACGTAAAGTTGCAAACTTTACGTGTATGCAAGCTCTTAAGTGCCAAAACCAAGCTAAGGGAGGGGTTTTAGCCAAATAAAAGGGCTAATGCTTGATAAATTTGGTGACTTTATAACTCTAAGGACTTAGAGGAGTCCATATCTGAAGTTGCAACTCCAGATCTTACCCAACCCCCGAAATGCTTCACAAATATACTAAAATGGCCTAAAATCCAAGGAAAGAGGATCTAATGCCAGAATGATCAAGGTAACAACTTGTTACCTTCAAATGAGTGCCCAAACGTTGTAGATGTTGGATCTACAATCTCCTTCATGTTCCAAGCTTCTCAACCTTCAAACTCTTTCAACAAAATGCACCAAAACCCCTCTCTTAGCCTCTTAGGCACAAAGAACAACAGATAACAGCTTATGGTCTCTTCTCTGAGTAGTGAAGTGGTAAGGGAGGCCACAAGAGGCGGATTAAATCCTTTATATAGGATGCAAACCCTAAAAATTAGGGTTTCCCTTTACAATGCCTACTCGTCGAGTTGGGGCCTTCCGACTCATTGAGTATGATCTAATTCATGTGTCCTCATAAATGATCTCTACTCGACGAGTTGGAGCTCCCCAACTCATCGAGTCCTAGCCTGAAAACTTAAAAAATTAAATGATACCTGGAACAGATGTTACACCTGCCCTCTTGGTCAATTTCTATTGTTGTTGGAGACCAAAAACAACTCCACTGGTGAGTTTCCTGCCGAGAGAAAATGAGCCAGAAACCCACCGGCTTCCATCTCCTGCTCACCATCGTTCCAACACCTCATTTGATTGTTGAGCAAACCGACGAGCACCCCCTGAAGATCATTGCTCCCCTCTGAATCGAACCTTAGGTCCAATGAATCGTACGATGTAACTTTTCTTCTCCGGAACTCCACCCCATTTCTCCCAACCACTGCCATGAAACCCAACTCCTGTCGTCGCCCCTAATTGTTCATCAGATGTAAACTCCTGCAACTTGACCCACTTCCCACGCCCGCCCTTGATTGTGCATCACCATCATCTCCTTCACCTCTCTACTCTCTGAAATGTGAATCAGAGCAGAAAAAATGTAAGTTTTTGTTTAGGTTTCATTTGGGTTTAATTTCAAGTTTGTGTATTTGTGTTGCCAACCACGATTTTGATTCATCTGTGGTTTTTGAGTTTAATTTATGGGTATCATATTCAGGATTAATTTTTAGGTTTGAGCACCTATGGCATCGATCTAGGCATTAAGTTTAGATATAGGTAAGAAAGGGAGGTGATGGTGGTGGACGATGTCAATGTAGATGTGGTGGCAGTGGTGGATTTCAATGATGGTAGTAGTGATTTTGATATTTGATGGTAATGGTGATGCATATCATAGGTGGTGGTGGTTTCTAGGTTATGAATTGACGATCTTGTTCATGGGAATTGATTCCTTGAGGCCAATTTGAGAATGTTACATGGAATTTTATTGATTCAATATATGGATTTCTTGAGTATGAAGGGCGTATCTTTGAGCTTTTATGGTGATGAACAACAAACCACTTAGCCAAACATCCCCTAATGTCATAGAATAGTAAGATCGAAAAAGAGAGCAATTTGCTAAAATATACGGTGTTTATAGACATAAAATAGACTGAGGATATAACCAAATATTTGTTGACATTATCAATTTTTTTTAATGTTTTTTAAACATATTTACCCTTATGATCATTTCTCTTTTTGAGGGTGTTTGGGAGTGCTTTTTATACTTAAAAGTGCTTTTTTAGAAAAGTGCTTATTGGTTTATGGTTTTTTTCTAAAAACAGTTTTAAAAATGTGTTTGTATTGACTTTTAAGATGGTAAAAACTAAAAAGTCAATAAGCCCTAAAAAACCAGGATTCTTTTGCTTTTTTAAAAACTGATGATTCTCCTTTACCAAAATTCCCTTTTAAAAGCACTTTTCACTTACCCAAACACATTTTCAACTTATTTGCTTATTGGATAATCTAAACACATTTTCACTTACCAAAATTCCCTTTTAAAAGCACTTTTCACTTACCCAAACACCCCTTTATATTTTGTTGTTCTTGATCGGGACAAGGGTTAGGCATCCGTTGCAACACTCAACAAACCATCGTTTCGAATTTGCTTTAAGAAACTCTTCAATTAACTATGGCGGGAAAACACACATAAACCTCCTCCTGTCTTTCTCTCTCACAAACACAGACAAGGAGAGATGTCGAAGTTCGATTATCCGAAACTCCCCCGGAAAGAGATCATCGGAGTACTCGCCGAATCACGAATCGTCAACGTCTCCGAAGCCGAACTCATCAACCCCAGACCCGATGTCGTCAACAATATCTACACTCAGATACTCGTTCACCTCGGCTGTCTGCAGTACACTTTTCTAAACCCTAATGTATTTTTACCCTTTCAAACTATCTGTTCTATCAAATTTCCCAAGTATCTGTTGAATTTTCAGGGAAGATTGCGGACTAGTCGAATTCGCAGACCTAGAACAACTTGAAAACCCCGATTTGCATGTTGACTCTGTAAGAATGATGAATTTGTTCAACAAGATAAGGGGAGTCATTTCTGCTCTCGACTGCCCTAAGAATTTCACTCTAAAAGATCTCATTAAGCCTGAAGGCGATCGTACTGAGTTTTTTATTGGTACTATCCTTAATTTTTGCCTTCACAGGTATTTTTTTTCATTTAATTCATCATTTTGAATTCCTTTCAATTTCTTCTCATGTAAACCCACCCAGATTGTTCGAATTAGTTAGCCATACATTTCGCATCTTGTGATTTATTTACTTACCTTTTACTATTAAATTTCACAACTTTACCAAGTTGTAAATAGCATCCACTTTTAATCATGAAAAAAAATATCACCGTTTTGACATCCACATAACATATTATGTTGTTTCACACATCCTAGAGACACAAGAATGGAACTAATAAAACCAGTCGTGGAAGATGTGACAAATCTTGATGAGCAACAACAAGCGATTGAAAATAGAATATCACAGGTAGGTTTAAAAAGTTATAATTGGTTATATATTCAGTCAGATTGAAAATTCGCTAACTATACATATCTTCATTGTAGTTAAATGCAGAATTACTAGAGTTTAATGAATCAAGAGAAAAGGAGATGCCTCTCATTCAAGAAGTTGACATCAAAATTAAAGAACTGCGCCAAACAATTTCATCTCTTAATAATCAGCAAATGTCCCTAAAGGCTACATTTAGAAAAAAGAAGGATGCAGTTAAAGAAATGGATGAAAAGGTACACATGTTCTTGATGTCGAAATGTTATAAACTTTATGTGAAACCGTTATCAAAATTAGCATCCTCTTTTTTTCCTTTTAATAACTGGATATGTAAATCCTTGTTGTTTTTCAGATTTCAAGTGCAGAGTTTGCTTTGGTACAAAGTGCTCAAGAAAATGCAAGTTTGCGTTCCAAAATTGTTCAATCTCCAGATAAACTACAGGTGGAAGTTATTCTAGTTTTTCATCATTAAACTATTAGGTGAAAATTTTGTGTAAAAATCAAATGAAGAGAGAGATATAATATAATTCTTTCATAACTTTAAGAGGGCATTGGAGGAAAAGAAAGGAGTTCAAATTGAGGCTAAGAATGCAGAAAGAGAAGCAATGCAGTCTTTTCATGAAAAATCTGCCATCCTTGAAGTCTATGCAAAGGTAATAATAGTATTTTACATAATTGTGAATTATGATCAATTTCATTTACATTTGGTAATGGCAAATTGGTAAATTTGCATGGATGTTGTTTTTCAGGCTAGCAAGAAAATGAGCAAGCATTTGAAGCAGATGCAGGCATTACAAGAGCAGGTTCTGTTACAAATCAATGAAACCACATTGTTTTTTCTTGAATTTAACTTTTAAAAAAATACAGAAAAACGGAAAGTACTTTCACCATTTTATTGATTTAAGTTTAACCATTGTTTCTAACAGGTGAACTCAGCCAAACAAGTTGAGAAAGATGTGAAGGTGTTGAAAGTTAAGAATAGTGATGATGGTGTGTTGGATAAATCACTTGAAGCCAAATTATTTGAACAACAAGGCAGAGGTTGTTTTTTTGTAAAGTTTGATATTTAAGGCACCCAAAACTTCAAATTTTATATGTATATGTATTTTTTTATATAAAATTTCAGCGGACCAATTAGAGGAACTACTACAACAATTAGAGAAAGAAAAGGATCTTAAGTGTGAAGAGGCTTCCAAAGAACTTAATAATGTGAGATCACAAGTGGAATATAATAGACATGGATTGGAACAAAGGCAAAAAAACATAGAAGCTCTGGTTGCAGAGGTATGGATTTTTATAAACTTTTGAAACGGATATTGTTTTTAAATTTTTTTATATATATTATTTGAAACTTGTTAGGCGGGTGCTATAAAGGAAAAGATTAAGGTGGAGAATGATTCAGCAACAGCTAAACAACAAATATTATTCAGTAAATGTGAAGAGATTACTAAAGAGGTGAAAGTGTCTTTCTGAACATTTTTTCATTAAATCTTTTGTATTTTTTTTATCATCCTAAAATGATAAGTTTTTTATATTGGGTGTAGTTTTTGGAGTACACAAATTCTACTGGGCAGTTGCTTTCAAAGATTGGGGAAGGAGCAGAGGGATTGGCAAACTGATGGATATTTTATGTTTTAGATGAATCTCTATTATTTATGGTGCTTTATTTCTTTTAAGTGATTATGGAGCTCAAGTGACAATCTCTTAAGTTGTAACAGAGATTGAAGAGCTTATTATTGTTATCTCTAAAGAAACATATTTACATGTGTTTTTAACTTGGTTTATGCATATGTAGAAAATTAGAATTGTTTAGCTATTGTATATTTAATGGATGAACAATGTCATTTGTATTTTACTTAAGCTTTGATATTCAAAGGCATTACCAATTTAGCTTTTGTAGATCATTTGCTTTAAGATTTGAATCGATATCATAGAGACTATAAATACATTAAAAATGAACAGATAAACGTAAGGCGCATCTAGTGTAGTGGTATCATAGTACCCTCCCACGGTACTGACCGGGGTTCGATTCCCCGGATGCGCATTTTCGTTTTTACCCTATTTAAGTTTTTTGAAAATTCTTGGAGTTATTTAACAAAAATCACACGCCCAGTGGGACTCGAACCCACAATCGCCTGATTAGAAGTCAGACGCCTTATCCATTAGGCCATGGGCGCAAGTTTTGTTTTTTGACCACAATAAAATTTATTTATTTACTATTACTTCTAGAACTGGTATTTTCACAGTATTATATTAAGTTTGTAGAAAATATTTGTTACAACTATAAGTCCCAAAATTTAAAGAAAGAGTAAGAAAATATTTTACACTTAATTAGATACATGTGATATCAAAATAAAATTTAAGTTAACCTTTATTCAGTTTTTTATCGTAGGTATTTAACATTCATATATATTATTGCAGCATGCTAGTTTTGCATCTCATGAGTAATTTAACGCACCAATAATTATCAGGTATCTAAAATTAGGTTTACTCTTTTTATCTTTGTTTAATAAGAAATAAATCAGTTTTGGTTAGGACTAATCAAAGTTGAGATATAAATTAAACATGTAAGAAATACAAACTTTATATAAGGAGAGAGAAAGGTGGGTGAATTTTGCAGCACAACAATTGACAGACATCTAAGTAAGATTAAACTTAAAAACCCAACACTATGATTGGTATGCATGTATTTTTAAAGAAAATTTCTTTGAAATGATCCTGAAGAAAACCTTGAAGTCAATCCTTGTGCCTTATTCTCAGCATCCAACTTGACATTCTGTCGTCCACCTGTCAAATCTTTTTCACGATCCCATGGTTTCCAAGGATGCTGTCCCTCCCATTCATCTTGTTTCTTCTCTTTTCCTCCCTCCTCCGCCTTTGACTTTTTCTTTGACCGAACCCGAGTCGACTCCAGATGCTTTTCCACCAATGATTTTGACCTTTTCGCTTTGTTGTATTTGTCCACCAATTCCGCATCCGCATTACGTTTTCCCTCGTCTTGAA